CTTCCGATCTCTAAAATTATTTTTTATTTCTGAAAATATGCTATTCAGTCCAAAATATCTTATTGCAGCATGACTGCAATGTTTTTGCGGAAATTCTATATTTTTTATATAATATTACTGTTTGTCATTTTGCAGAAATTTTGAAAATATCAACGTACCCCATGTATTAACTAACCCCGTCTCTCCATATATATAAAAATTTTATAAAAATTAATTTAAAAAATTCTTAAATATAATATAAAAATAATAGCTTTTATATGTTAAAGCTTTTTAATGCACAATATATAACATGCGTGCATATATGTGAAAATTTTATAATAATTTTCACATATATGCACGCATGTTATATATTGTGCATTAAAAAGCTTTAACATATAAAAGCTATTATTTTTATATTATATTTAAGAATTTTTTTAAATGTCCATTAAATGTTTTCATTATTTTGTATTTATTACAATTTATTATTAATTGTTTTAATTTTCAATTTTATATGAACAGAATTTTGCTAAGGGTGAGAGAGGAATACTTGTTACATTCTTGATATTCCAATTCTTAGTCCTGCTTATACTCTACGCTCATTGCACTGTCGGCGAGAACCTTTTGACAGAGGTAACATTTTGTCGAAAAAAGATAAAAATTGAAAAAATATACCTACATTTATTGCGTATATAGTGAAATTTGTATATCTGTGTACGATTCTCTGATTGTTTCTCTGATAGTGTGTGTAAATATTCTTTTCCTAGAGTGCTAAAGTGTGTGAAGCGTTTTATGGTTGCCGTTGGTACGATATGTCAAAGAATAATGCGCGAATGATAATACTGTGCATGGCGAGATCGCAAAGACCGCTCTGTCTGACAGCCGGCAAATTCACCATCTTTTGCCTCAGCACTTTAACTGACGTAAGCCGATAATTTGCATGCATTTGCGAAATATTTAAAATACAAAGTGCTTCGAACTTTTTTGAGTAATCTGAAATATCGTTGTTGCTAACAGAAATACGAAAAATATGATTGAGGAATAAATTGTTTCAACAGGTTTTGAAAGCATCCATGGGATATTTATCAGTATTACGTTCCTTTTTGTAACGTCACTGAAGAGCAGTAATTTTCAAAATTGTGTGCAAAGATAATTTATAAGTTAAATACATTCGTCGCTCAAATAGAGATAAATGTACAATTTATAATAAAGAGAAAAAGAAGAGAGAGAGAAGAATTATCATCCGAAAATTATCTTCATACAACATTCTGTAAAAGACATAATTATTTTAAAACAAATTTTACATATAAAAAATAAAAGTTCGTTCTTTATAATACCACTTGCATATCATATATAAAAAGTTTTTACATAGATTGCACAATTAATATGCTTCAATTGATTTGCGTACAGCTTTTAAAAAATATCGCTTGATTTATAATAATATCACCTACGCTTATATAATTTCAATCTGTCTCTGACACATTTTTGCTACTATTTATATTACTACTGCTAAACGCAGAGGTTATCACCCGATGCGATTTGTAATTAGGACACTAGATTAACAAGTCGATCGATTGGCGATTATCAAGTTATTAAAAGCGAAAACTATTAGAAGAAATTGATAATTGATTACGCATTCGTTGAATGATCATGAAAAAAATTGTAATCAATCATTTTTCCTTGTTTATCGTAATATTTTGCTACACTGTATCACTCTTACCTTTAGATAACTGATGCACTTGTCGACGAGATGTCTGCTGACGTGCGAATACACGGCGGAGAGGGGATCGTCTAGCAGATGAATATCTGTACCTTTGTAGACCGCGCGCGCCAGGTTGATTCTGGCACGCTGGCCATTGTTCAAATTTATTCTCCTCTCGTCCACGGTCGCAATGAAGAAACGAGTCTGATGAAGCCGGTATTCATAGTAGGTTCTTATATTTAAGACCGTCTTAAGTACAGTCTTAAGATGTTATAAGCCAATCACAGCCGTATTAGAATCTTAAGACATTATTTAAGTCTTGAAATAAAAACTAATTATGAACCGAATAAAACCGGCCTATGTCCAATTTTATTCGGCAGACTCCGATCACTTGATCGTAATGCGACTGTTCGTCACATTTATCCAGAATGTTCACGGAAGACGTAAAGAAGATCGATGATATGCTGACTGTCGGCAGTTAATTTTACCACAAATTTACGATGCACTTCCACTCATCAATGGGTAGCCACAGACTACTCTTATTTGACCGAGCATACCTACGAATCTTCCGGAAGAAAAAGCTTTACTATACGAATATACTCACATGTCGAAGATATTTTTGCAAGTGTGACCAACAGGATCGACAGTGTTTTTGTATCTAAGACTTCTTAATTTCGTAAATAGTTCAGATGTATATTTACAATAAATAAGTTTTAATATGTTATGTTATAACAGATAATATAGAAATGTAGACGATACTTGATGTAATATCTCTGCTTTTGTAAATTTTTTATTTCTTCTCTTTATAATTTTTAGAGAAAGACTCAACGGCAGCTAACGTCTTATCACTTAGCAGGGTAGCACGGTTTTGCCACGTATAAGCATTGCGCTTATGATGCCGCACGTGTTTCGTCGGAAATCAGTTGATACAATAGATACATTTAATAATGCGCGGCACGCGAAGACGATTACGCTAATGATATTACTAAATATTTATTAGGAACATTGAGAACTGTCCGTATCATGTTTATTGTGAAATCGCTGCAATTTTTCTACGCTGTACCAAATATAAAGAATATAGAAGACGCCCTAGATACGAGGAAGAGCCGAAGGAGCGGCTTTTCATGAGACGGTAAGATAATTAGTGCGCCAGAGGAAAAATGCCGGTTAATAACAGCTTGATAGCGGATCGGCTATTAGGCTTTTATGCTAGATATTAAGTGTATATCTGAAATAGCAAAATGGCAAGATAAGTTACAAACATGAGTCTAATCCAGATGTTATATACATTACGAGCGTCGCATGCATGGGTAAATCGCGGCAACCGAATCTGATTCGCAACGAAACGAATCGAATCACAGTCGCGGACGATCAGTTGATGAAAAACCACGACTCGATTTGCTATGAAAGTAAGAAGAATTAGTACTCTATGTCGCGAAAGATATCTCGTAACGTTTCGCCGGAGAGGTACACGGCTTCTCTACACGGAAAGAACGATTTTGTTGAAAGATCTAAAAATTTTGCTGAATACAGATCTAAAAATTAATTCTTGTTGAATCATCAAAAAAATTTTGTTGGAATGTTAAAAATGATAAGCATTGCTATCAAACGTTTTTTTATAGCAATGCTTATTTGATAGCATTTTTTTTTATATTCTAGCAATTATTTTGATTATTGAACAAAAATTATTTTCAGATCTGGATCCAGCAAAATTGTTCTCTCCGTGTACCGTATATGATACTGACAGTATCGTAATTTATCTAATTGTGTTAATACATTTCCTTTAAGTAATGCGATTTATAGCCAATGTGATATTTCACTTTCAACGACTTTTATTCGGAACGTATAACATTACAGAACGAAGTCGACCATATCGCAGATTTATTTGTTCATTTAGAACGGATCTTCTCCATCGGAGGGATATGGCCGTTCAAGCGGACGTACGTCCGCTTCGCGATTTACATCTCGCATTTCACGCTTTATCTCGCCATGGCGTACACCGACTTTTACGACGTTTTCGGCAATTTGGAGCTGATGGTGATGAACCTCGTGGAAACGGCGGCTTACTCCATGACGTTCCCGATAGTGTGGCTGATACGCTGCAGCAATTTGCTGAAGCTCGTGATTGACGTGATAAAGAGGGACATAGCCGAGCGGAAATTCGAGAATCCCGAGGAGGAAAGGATTTACTACAATTACAATTTCGTATCCAAGGTATTCACGTACGGCTCGATCGTCGGCATGTTCATCACGGTCGTACTGCTGTACCTCAGACCGCTCGTGCAGTATCTCTTGACCACAAATCAAGGTAAGTGAGATTTATTGAACACTTTCTCACTAATCATTATAAATTTAAATGTATTGCATCGGTAATAAGGTAAGTGAGATTTATTAAACTCCTTCTCGCTGTTCATTATAAATTTAAATGTATTGCGTCTACAATAAAGAGATATTTACATCGCATCGCCTCGTTACTTTATTATTATTCAATCCGTCATTGTAAAATTGTAGCAGTAAGTTGCTCGGTATTCTTTCAATACTTTGTTGCCAACATACTTAGTTCGAAGTAGAATTCCTTCTTTATCACTGTAATCGTTTCTCTTATCTTTTTTTTCCCCAGCGTCACAAAACAATACGGAGTCATTAATGTTACCCTACAGAGTCCATCCGTTTCTCGACACCAGCAATACTCATGCATACGTACTGATGTATCTCTATCTGTTTCCGATGATTTACATCTCCGTGTGTCACATGGCGGCGATTTGCCTGGTGGTAATATTGGTATTCCACATTTGCGGCGAATTGTCCATTTTATCGTATCGCATCAGACACATTGGTGAATACTCGCAGACCAAGACGGTAGAGAGAATTCGTAGCTTCGTTCGAATGCATCTCAAGATAATATGGTATAGGAGTATTGCAATCATATGTGGCAATATTGCAGTAGTAGACGTCTCTTTGTTCAATTTGTTTTTCTTTTTTTCTATAATATACTGCTGTCGGAATATTATGGTGATGAATATTATGAAGGCTGGCGAAATCCGTGGACGATACTTTCAATTTGGTTCTTATGGATGAACTCCTCGGCAATAGTATTGTACTGGCTATCTCGATGTATTATGTCATAATGGTATGTCACATTATTAAATATCGTTATGAAATTTTTAAATTTATATCGAGTGCGCTAGTTGGTAGAAAATATACTGTTATAACATTTTAAAATTTACGATCATCACGTTTTCACTTGATATTGCACGTAAAGGAAAATTAGTTTCATATTGCTCAGAGAATGTCATCAAAATTACGCGATTGGATTGTTATACGGAACATCCTGTACATATATGCGTTCTTACAAGTGATATCCCATATTTTTTAGAACTTGGATGTATCAGAAATAGCGACCTGCTGCACTTTTACTTTTTTCGCCATTATTGCGCTCGTCATGCTCTTCGGATATTGCTTGATTGGTGATCAACTAACGCAACAGGTATAATTAGAGTCAAACAAAGGAACGAACCTATTTTGTCTGACAATAATAATAAGAATTTTTATCCCAATTTTTATATTAAACGTTTCATATTTGATATTTAGTGTATAAACGTGCAGGATGCGTACTACGAATGCAATTGGTACGAAATGCCGTCCAATTGCAAGAAATGTCTGCTAATATGTATGATTCGGGGTCAAGTTATGCTCTATTTAACTGCCGGAAGATTTTATATATTTTCTTTAAACAGTTTTACGGACGTGAGTGTGTTAAAATAACATTAATTCTTTATAATAAAAGTAATAAAAAATTTGTCAAAATCGGTATTATATTATTCGTGAATTTGTTGATTAGTCGCAAAGAGTTTACGTTCAAATTGTTTGTTAAAGCCGTACTTTTAAAAAGGGAAGATTATATATGTTGCGGAGTTTTTCATAGTCTTGCAACACACCATTTTTATTTTTAAATATACGGATTTAGAATAATTTGAAAATAAGTTCTTCAATTAATTTTTCTCAAAAATGTTTAATCAACAATTTCTTTGCATAAAATTCTATAATTTTATATGTATATATATTATATATTGATGCAGGTTATCAAAACTTCCTTGGCATATTTGTCGATGCTGCGTACTCTGCTATAAAGAATTATGGAAAAAATTATATATGGCTCACAATACTATAATACAAATCTGTATGTACTGTATGTAATACTATAATACAAATCTGTATGAACTACAGATAGAGAAATATACTTAGAATATGCGCCAAATCAACATATATCGATGATCGTAATTTACAATACATAGTTCGTTTCAAAAATCGTAATAGAAAGATAATACATAAATAAATATCATATTTTAGATTAATCTGATAAATTTCTCAGAAAATAGATTTGAAAAAAATGTAATAGAATTAATATATATTTATTCAAAGTTACGTACATTGCGAAATATTTTTGAAAATTTATAAAGCTGTATTTTTGCACGCAATAATTCTCACAATTAGAAACAATTATTTGACAGCAATTTGCATTTGTAATCATACAGATCTATATCGATGTTTAAAATTAATCGTAAAAGATAACGATCGATTTCGGATTAAAAGCACAGGCGACTCGGACACGTGACACGCTCATTGTCCGATTCATACGTTAATTTTGTAGACAATTGTCTATTCCCAGATTCTATAGACAGCTCTAAGCACGAAAACAGAAATTACTTGCGCTCTTGCGTTCATATATTTTGTGCAGTTTCATGGGAGCTTTCGAAGAAAGAACAGCGTAAAGCGATATGCAGGTGATTCGTAGATTTTCATAAATGTTACAATACGCCAGAAAAAACAATAAAATATTACATTATTTGATTAATTATAGAGTCTATGTAGAGATATGACGATTAATTATATTTCTTTTCCTCAGGATTGAAGAGATTTAGATGTGGTTGAGATGTTATCTCTTGGAAGAAATAATTATATCGACTGGGATTCTTGGTCTTTTCAATTTAATCTTATTTTCTCAGTTAATTTTGACTATTTTAGTTTTTTCACAATTCTAAAATATTTGAATTTCTTTCTTTTTGACGGTGATTTAAACACGTGATCATGAATTTGATAATGGCGTTCTCATAAATTGTGCGAATAAATATGCCAAACGTTTTATATAACGATTAAATTGGTGAGATCACATACATATACAGAGGCTATGAAGAACTTTGGTAGGACGAATTACAGAACCGACGAGGAGAGGAAAGCGTTCTATATAACGCTAGGTCAAAGATCTTCATCAAGCTGTTGCCACGCTGACAGTTCGTTTCGTCATATTATTTAACTCCGATTATGATTATCCTCGGAAATGGTGAGTCATGTTCACGCTTTTATATAACTTAATCCAGATGTAGCTAGGAAAATTACATGAATTACGCAAAGAAACAAAGTACTATTAACATGAATGTACACTATGTACAGGCTGTCCCTATTTTTAGTATTGCTCAGTTTCATAGAACAAGTTTTTTCATGTATTACAAAAAATTATTTTTTGATCTTCAAATTTTGAAAATCCATATATTTTTTCGAATTTTAGAACAAATGCAAAAAGCACAAATTTACTCTACTATAATGATTTTTCTTTTTAATACTAATATCACAGTTTTCTTCAAAATAATGATAACGTAATTCAATTAATCTATCTAGTGCCTTATCGTTGTACACGATCAAAAACGTGTGCAACGCGCACGATTACGTACACCTTGCAAATGCCATTCGTCTTATTCAGTGGTTTCAGACAAAGCGTCGGTGATTATATCACCCTTGTCTTTCATATTTGCAGCCAGATGTCGGTTCCCACTTTGTTCATTAATAATATATAGGCACCGAACTCTGTAATTGCAGGCGTGAAATGCGACACGTGATGCGCGTGCATATGCGATGACTTGCGGTGCAATGAGCTGTCGCAAATATGCACGCGATTACAATTATCGTTATAAGACCTAAAGTTTATTATTAAGAACCGTATTATTTAGTTAAATGCTATTCTTTAGTTTTATGCTCGAATTAGAACTAAAATTCTTTAAATTTTTTCCTATTTGACTTAAAATAAAGATCTTTGTTGAAGAAATCTTTCATTTTACCTGGCTTTTATCACTGTGACGATATAAGAACAGAGTATCTTGATTCTTTAGAAAATTAATTATATATACATATATAAGATAATTAATTTTTATTTCTAACAAATTATGAATTTACTTATTAATTTTAAAATAAATTCATTATATTATTTAGACTTTTTTTAGGATGGGAAAAATAATATAGAATGCATTTAGTGCTACACTTTTTGCTCATCTTTTTAGGAGCTATTTCACTCGCATGCATTCTTAATTGTCAAATTTTAATGGTAAGTAAATATTCTAATGTAATATTGCAATCACACAAAACGTAACACATTTCATATTTTACGTCTAATATTTTGTCCAAAGAATACTTTAAATACACGATTTTAATTTTAATGATTTTTTGACTACTTTGAATTTCTTTTCGTTCAACTTTGCATTAAATTTTGAAAGATCGAGACATTGCTTGATTTATAATGCTTACATAACTTAATAATATAATCTCATATGTGTGCACTTACCAATCATATAAAATTCATCAGCATCCAGCTATTCAGAAAGACCACGTGATTTCAAACGTTGCAAATTTCGTTTTCGAAGTGATATAGTTCAACAATGCGTGTAGAAAACAATTGAAACTCTTTATCAAACACACTTGGAAATGTAATACCGTTAGACGTGTTAAATGAAGGAATAAGGCGGTCGACTGTCCCACGTTCCACGATAAGTCATAATTACAGCCGCGCGAAGGTTGTACGTGTACTACGTTTATACAAACTATCGTTTCAGTAAGTATACGTCTGGGTGAATCGCATCGGGCATGTGACCACGTTGCGTCACAAAGACGGTCGTTTCACATGGTCGTTCTTCTCAGCGATCTTTCATTTCGATAATAGCGCTTTCGGCTGAAACAAGATTGCGAATTATTCCGAGAAAGATTAATGACATCATCTACTTTTTCGAATTCACGCAAAAGTGATATAATGAAATTATCTGTGTTTGAAAACAATGAAAATGACGCAAGAAGTATGTGCTCAAAGAATATTTCTAAGTAAGAAATATTAAAGAAAATTGAAAAAGATATTAAAATAATAAAATTTTCACATATCTTTCTATATGTCATTTTATCTTTTTAAAAAACTAAAACTAAATGAAATTTAAATTTCTGCTTTCTTAAAAAAGTAATGACATAAAAATTTGTGTCAATTAAGAATAAGAAAATTATGTGCAAAATTAAATTTCTCACAGATTTCAACATCCAAAAAAATATCCAATCAGTTGTATAAAATACAACAGTTCAATTTACGCTTTATTTATATTTCCACAAATTGTCTTTTATTACAAAAGATTTTATTTATTTATAACTGAGATGGCGCGTGGGATACATACACACGAGATTTTTGTCTACATATAAAATCACGCAGTATTACATATGTTACGCAATATTATGTACAGATGCGAAATTTGTAAAATATAATATTAAAATCTAATGACAATTAGTGTAAGATATTTTTACGACTAAATTGTTGTTCGTTTACTATAATAATTTTATTAAATTGTTGCACTCTTTCATTTATGATTATTAGAGATGCACGATTATTCTGGATCTTACAAGATCCGAGAATAAAATTAATTAATTTTAAATTAATTTTATGTTAAATTTATGATATTGCAAATAATATAAAGACCGAATAAATTCGTTATTTTGAACTGCTTCCGAAATGAAGAAAACATTTTCAGAAACATTTTAAAATAATTAAAAAAGCAAAATGTTAAAACACGTTATGTGCATTCTGCATTGCACTTACAAACATTACATATAAATTTAACGATCAATTCCTCCATTGCGTCAGTAAATTTGGGCGATAGCTTTGTAATATGTCAATTACAAAAATAAAAAAAAAATTAGTATTAAAAACAGCACTGTATGTGCATTTAAAATAACAGTGCTGTGGAATAAGCACTGATTGAAATATTAAAAGGACAGACGTGAAACTGCTCGGTAATAAATATTACTTCTGAAAATTCTAAAATAGCTATTCTCCTAATTACAACAATCACATAAATGTTTTTTCTCCGAAATATATATGTATTCTTCGTTATATTATGTAAGGAAATCATTTCTCTCTTTTTTTTTACGATATACAGGGTAAACTAGGGTAGAATAAATTATATCATTATTGGCCACCTACGCAATATTTACCTTCGTCGTAGAATTCTCATCGCAAAAACAATATACAAGTACAAGTAATTGTACTCTATGGTCTTATCATAATTTAATCCTTACATATTCGAAATAAATAGAAGTTCACTGCTTGAGTAACTCTGTAAATTGAACGTCAGTTATTAAGTTAATTGTATCAGCATGTATTTTGCTGATATTCTCGAAATATAATTAAAAATTTTCTATAACATCATATGTATCCTGACGATATTATTCGATATTAACGCCTAAAAATATTAAATTTTCTAAATCGTCCCTAATCAAAAGAGAAAGAGAGAGAGAGAGAGAGAGAGAGAGAGAGAACGAGAGAGAGCGAGAGAGAGAGAAGCAATGTAATATATAAATATGGATACACGATCCGGTCTTGCGCGTACTTCTTTAACGCCCAGACATGGCCGTGTCTCCTGGATATAAAATTATCTAATTCTCTGAAGACTATCACATTACGATTACTATAAATGTAATGGCCAATAACTCTATGATTTATCCTGACAACGAGCGGGACTAGTGCCGCCTTTATCGGGGGCTTGTGAATGGAATTTTCTTCGCAACACATATAATTGAGCAAGAGACAATAATAACGCTTTAGTATCTAATATCAAAGTTCAGAATCAATCTAATATAATATTATTGGAACAAACTAGCTGGAGCTTCTACATACTTGACGTGTGAATGAAAAGAAGGAAAGGTAGAAAAAACAGCGAACAAAATGGCACCCTGAATCAAAGAAGCACGGTCTGCGGAAACGATATTTAATTTGTCGTAAACAGCTTCCCCCTCCCCCCCCCCAGTACGTTGTTATTAATTACATTACGTCGACGTAGCGCGTGGTATAGTGATTACGAGATTATGGAATGTACTTTCGTCCTGAGCTTAATAAGAGTCTATGAATGAGGAAAGGAATGTGTCTACACAAGCGTTGTTAGGAGTGAGATGCCCTTGTAAAGTCCTTCTTAACAGTCGGGACTCCCCCTGCGGAGGAGGCGTTGACCTTGTAGGCGTTGCTCTTCACCTCGGAGGGATGCCTGTGAGTGCTCGTCGAGGATTTCCTAAGCGGCTTCTGAATCTGCGTCGTTGACAGTCCACTCACCGGGTACTTGTTCCTGCTGGACGTCGCGCCGTTGCTGCCCCGCGCGCCGCTCTTCGCGGACGCGGCGGTGGAATTAGCTATCTCGCTGGGATGCTTCGGCAGGACGAAGGCCTTCGTCTGCTTCAGCAGGTATTGATCGTTGCATAACGCCGAGATTAACGGTAAGTCTAAGTTACGACTTTTCTCGCGAAGCGTTCGAATGTCCAACATGTCGTCGTTCTTCCCCTCGTCTTTCTCTTCCACGCCGGTGCCGAGTTTCCTAAATTTGTTCGTTGTTGTGGCGACCAACGAGGAAGTCGCCGCTGAAGAGGACGACGGCAGCGGCTGACTTTTTTCAAGATTCTAAAACAAATAACATGCGTTACTATATTAAATATCAATTAAAATATCTATAATTTTATGAAAAATGTATAATGTACTATATCGTAAGGGATTAATCATCTATATCATCTTTTTTTTCTTCAAACTGATGAAGTGAGAGCAACGATAGAATAATGCAGAATATTTACGCGCATCTAACAAGAAAACCCAAGTGTTCTTTCCTCCCGACTTGTTAGATAAAACCTTAATTATAAATTAAATAATTTGACATGTCAATATCTTTCTATATTACCTGTATTTCATAGGGCGGTGGTGGTGGCGGTGGCCTGCGATGCTTGGACTGCGGTAGAGATTGCATCTTGTTCGCGAACAAGGTGTCCAAGCATTTGAGAATGTTCTCGTCGCTCCTGGTCCGCGTCGACGCGTTCAACGTGTGTGGGTGAGCCGGCACGGGTGGCTCCCTTCTGAGACTGTGGTTGCTCGCGGACGAACAGGTTGCACCGCTGTACAACGAGCTGGTGCTGGCAGCGTAGTGGCTGCTCAGATTGCTTTGAAGATAATTTCCGCCGGAATTGCCGGTGTCGCTTGCACTCAGATTCTGGTTGGACGCGTATTTGGACGGCGAGGAAAAGGAGGAGCCGGGAAGGTAGGGCGTGCTGCGATACATCACCGAGGACTTGCTGAAGGACGGATACGGCGGCGGCGGATAGGCCGCCATGGCCGCCAGAAGGGAGCCCTGTTTGGCGTCGATGTACTCCTGCTTCGACACCGCCGGATCTTTGAGCGGGAACATAACGTAATCGACGTCGGAGTAAAGCTGCTGCTTGTACTGCTCTATCTGCGATCGAGAGACCTGACTCGTGTAGACGGTCGCCAGACTCGACGCTGGCTGCTGCGTGGACGACGGCGGCTGCGACAGCGACGGCGGCGGCGGCGGTGGTTGCCGCGGATGTACTATCGGCGGTGGCGGCAGAGGCGGCGGGGGCGATGATGTTGTCAGATACGGTAGAAGTACCGGACCGCCTCGGGACGCGTGCACGTCCAGGTAATTGTTCGGGCCTACCACGAGAGCGGCGACCGGCGCGTGCACGGGGGTGGGTTTCATTTTGTCGCCCGGGTATGTGGGAGGTTGGATTCGAGGCGGTGGTTTCGGCGCGACATTCCCGGCGACGTCGCTGGCGGTTTCCGCGATTTTCGCAGAAACGGGGCCGATCGCCGCCGTCATGTCGGGATAGGGCGGCGGAGGTGGTGGAGGTTCACGTGGCGTCACCGCGTCGTTTCGCGGCGGGGTGGGTGGCGGTATTTGAATCCTCTCTCGCGACGACGTGTACGGAGGCGGCGGCGGCGGTGGATCGGTTCGCCTGGGCGGCAACGGGACAAAGTCGCTGCAGGTCGTGTTGTACGGCGGCGGCGGCGGCGGTGGTTCACGTTCTCTGGCCAATTCCGATATAATGCCGGACCGTTTCGAGACATTGATTGTTGCGTAGTCAATGCTCTCCAGCGGATACGGCGGCGGCAATTGCCGATCGCTGTCCGTCCTGGGCGGCGGAGGTGGTGGCGGCATCGTCACGTAATCGCAATCCGAGTCCATCGAATTGCTGATGGTCTTGCGTGGAGGATATCTGCCGACTATCAAATCCGACAACTCGTCAGCCGACAGCAACGGTCTCGCGCTGGACGGATCGCTGCCATCACCTCGGAAGCTGCTCACGCTGAGTATGCTGTTGCTTCGCGAGCGCGAGTCCTCCAGCTGACGGTCCAGCAAGACCTCGTCATCGTCGCCCTTGCAAAGACTGTATATTGGCTCCTGATCTTCCGCGCCGACATCTTCCGCGTAACTGCTTTCGGAACGTAGCCCACTGTGAATGGTGTAGAAACCGGATGTGATGGACGCTTCGTCAGTGGTGGACTGAACGGAGCTCAGAGCGCAAACGTCGCTCGCCGCCGAGGACTCGTTGGTGTCGGCCGTGGGCGAATACAGATCGTCGCCGATTCTTTCGTCTTGGATCTCGCTGCTTCTCAGTGTATACACGCCGCTAGTTTCGCTCGCAATATCAGTACCTGAGGAAGATCATTCAAAGATTTATGGTTACTGTACGTGACCGTGCTTCGAAGGAAAGCGAGTGGAGAACAGTAGGATACCGACATTTGTATTCTGTGCACGTACCATTATAATAAAAGTATAGGGACTAAGGAGATGGTAGAATACAGAGGGGTTCGGCTTAGGTAATTTTTAAAAAGATTCTACAATACTTCGGCCGTGTCAACAAAATCGTTTTTCAAGCTAAAGCGACTTCTCTCATTCGCTCACCTGTATATTTACCTGTCTTCTTACATCTGTCGTAAATAGCACCCGGAAAGCTAGCTGTCTCCGAGGAGATCGCTGAATTTTGCGCCGTGTGCGAATAGCCGAGCTCCAAGCTAGAGGTCGCCGAGGCGCGGCGCATTCGCGACGGTCCGCCCGTCGACGTATTAACGACGACCACTGTGCTGCAACTGCTGCTGCATTGCGAGCCCTCGGCGGCGGTCGCGGCGCTTGACGCGAGACGTAGTACCACCGATGTAGACGTGGCGTCGGAATTGTCAATCTCTGAAAAATTATCCCACTGTCATTTATGACGAAGAAGCGATCAGGTCGATAAGACACACGGCGTATCATAGATTCTCTCTATTTCAATATAGGAAATTACGTAACACTTTAGCGTAAGTGGACGTTTTATTTCACAAACTAAAGATAGACTATAATAATAGACAAAGCTCAAATTTAACGGTTTAAATGGAACTCTGTTATACGGTAAAATTATGCACATCAAAGAAGATCGTTAGTAAAACGAAGTTTCTGTTATTGACTGAGCATACCGTCAATAGAAACGGAAGAAGGTGGTATAGAATGACTGTCCGTATCCCCATTCGTGCCATTTAAAACTCTACTTTGGCCATCCAAATAAGGTACCGTCTCGGTAAGACGTGGCAAACACTCGGTGGACGCTGGTGCGGTATCAGGCTCGTCTTCGCTATGCACCCGATCGCTAACAATACCGGACGTTGTGTTCGAGGATGTACTTGAGATGACGGAAATTCGTTGGTCACCGCGCGCACCGCGCGCCGTTAAACTCAATTTACATCGAGTAGGATACATGTAACAATCCCTCAAGACTTTCCGTTCTACACAAACCACATGTAGTCTGTTATATTATTACAATTCATCATTTTCGAATCGTCTATTAATTAATTTCTTCATAGCGGTCTCGGGGAAAAAATTAGGGAAATGAATAATAGGATTAAGAGGGGAAACAGAAAAGATGTATGATATTATTATGAAGTGGCGGAGGAAAAGAGAATAAGATATCGAGCGATTATAATTAATTAATTATTCAACATGGATAATTAATAGCGAATAAAAATAAGCAAAGTAGGTTCACCTTCTTCCTCCCGTCTCATAGCTTCATTTACTCTAGGCGCTATAGCCATAGAGAACTGATGGGTGTCACGGCAGAGTCCCAAGAGGAGTTTACTCTTGTCATCGCACCCGCTATAGAGGGTGAGTTTTTCCGGCTGATCGACCGCTCGGATCTCGAACTTTTTGCGCTGCGTAAGAAAATATTTTTTAATTTTTAAATGTACTTAAACAGTCATACAAAAGTTTTCAATAAAGTACTTTGTTGATTTATATTATTAGATGCGTAAGTAGCGATGCGGGGAATCAATTTATCTTAACGTGCACTACACGAAAAGAATTTCTGTTGCTTTCTGAATCATAATTCGACATTTGTTGCAGCGAACAAGCAGGACATTTTTTAACACTTACATCGAAAGAGAGCTTGCCGATGTTGTTCCAAGCGAAAACGCGCGGTGTCTCCTCTTCGGCGTAGATTCGCACTCCGCGAGCGCAAATTGCCAGGAGTATCCGTCCCGGTCCCGCCTCGTTCTTACTCCGGCGCAACCGGTACAGGTGAGCGTTGAGCGGCGCTTCCAGCAGCACCGCCTCCCGGATATATTGCAACTCTGCCTCCTCTCTGGAGAGCCCGCTGTTCTCTCTGTGCTGGGTCGCAAGCACGGTGAGCACGTTCGACTCGAGGCACATCTGAGAGCATTTTCGAGACAGATTCAACCGATTAAAAGGCCATAATCGTAACTCGAGGTAATTGTGCGAGAAACACATTTCATAACATATATAATAGTTGCATTTAAAGAGAAGTGCACGTTGCAGACATATTAATGTATCTATGTGGAAAACACGGTCATCAATCAATTCCTTTTGTCATTCTACATACTCTCTAAATTTTCTGAAGTGAAAATACTGCCACTCGGCCATTCGAGTGGCAGTATTTTCACTCATTTGGAGTGAGATTCACTCCAGAAAATTTAGAATATAAAAGTATATTTAATGCCATCGAAAAATGAATGCAAGAAAGTGAATACAAAATATCTCATGTTTCACATATACATATATACATGGTGTCCAGCGATATCTGACTAGCCAATTCAAGGATAATTCCAGGACATTCCAGGCAAAAGTCTTGGTTTTTCCAGATCAATTAATTTTCATTATTTAATTAATTTTTATTGATTTGCGCAATATTATATGTTTTGTATTCAAATTAGAATTCTACATATGACGAATCAATTAAAATGCAAACAAATTTAGAACAATATTATTTATTGCTTTACAAATTGCTTGCCTTTTTACATCTTTAAGAGAGAACATATACAACCATAACTTTTCTAAAAAAAAAAACGATGTTATGCGGTGTTATCAACATAGTTCTTGAACACGCGCAAGAAATGATTTATTTCTTTTTTTACGATCCAATTTTCTTTAGAATAAAAGAATGATAAAAATTCAAGGTCAATTCTGAAATTTCAGAGGTTTTCCAGGAATTTTCCAGAACATATTAAATTCCATAATAATTTCAGGATTCAAGGATATTCAAGGATCGCTGGACACCCTGATATATTTAATAATTCAATCTTCAATAGATCAAGAAAATTATTAAAATCTTGGACATATCTGGCTTACGTGGGGAGGAAGGTAGTCCGTGGATTTGCAATAGCCGACAGATCCTGCATGCGGTCTGTGACGTTCCTCGGAATAATCGCCGAGGTCGGCTTGCAGGGCAAGCCCAGCGAGCACCAGCAGCGGCGTGACGATGGACGGCTCGTGCAGGGGATGGTGAGGATGGAGGCTCTCCACCCCGCCGCCGTGCCTGACGACATTGTCGCGCAGTTGCAGGTAATAGTGATGCCGTGTCGTCTCATCGCTGAAACAGCCACGCGAGCATTAAAATATTTAACAAATGCGTACAATGCGTGAAACGTAAAAAGACCTTTCTGAGAAGAAATAAGAGACGTAAGTACAAAAAAATATTCAAATCTATAAAAAAAAATTTATTTCGTGATGAAAGAACTAAAAAAGTTAAGATCTTAAAAAAAATGCTCTTGAAATATTAATGGTTAAAAAACAAAAAGATAGGAAATTATTTCTATCAAAGATACTTTAATTATGTATAAGCATTATCAATTTATAATCGACATTATGTAAGTGATTTAGAGCTTCTTTCAGTCCGTAAAAAAGTGGTTAAGAAGGATACCAAATAGAATACGGTATATTTCTTAACAGAAATCGGAAGCATTGGCGAGAGACCCGCGAGCCAGCCGAGGCTCTCGTAGCACAAAAATTAAACCTTCGGGGCAAACGTGCGGTGAATCGTCAAATTCAATGTAAATCACAGGGTTTCGTGTGTCGAAATAAAAAAGAAACTACTGAAAGAATCGGTATAATTACCGAGGTGCTCTGAGAATGCCCACGTTTTAGGCGCACGGTCTATCTATCATGTCCCGCATAATTACTTTATAATTACAAGAATAGGTAGCACTACTCAGCTACCGGACGAGAATCCGGATTTTCGTTCCGCGAAATAAAGTCTCTCTCGTCTCGATATCTCCCCGTAATTTTGCGTCTCCCGCTTTTTCCGTATGTGCGCGCGTCCCTCGTCCTTCTTTCGTGTCTCTTTCTCTTTCCACGGCGGTGCCTTTTAATCGGCACGACACCGGCGGCGTCTTTTAGACACCGTCCAAAAGGGAACAAACTAGCCGAACGCGCATTTCACGTTTCGCTATGCTGGCGATTCGGACGTATGGCATATTCATTAACCGCACGATTGCGATTCCGCAATCAAATCGGGGATCAAAACATCTCTCGCAGTTCCCTCCTGGAACATGTCTACGCCAACCGATTGATCGAGATGTAAAGATAAAATTTTTATTTTTCAAAGATTTATTTAAAAAATTAATAATTTACTTGAAATGAGATATTGGAATATTATTACACATTACCTTAAGAGTAATGGCGTATCGATGTAGAAACGAACTCGAAAGTACAGGACAAATGCTGGTCTTCCACTGCTATCCAGACCCTAGAAATAATATAGATATATAAACTACATATTACAGCGACAATTAACATATAAAATTGTATACTATTCTAATAATAATTATATATTACAGATGAATCACAACTGCCCGGAATATTAAATTTAATCACACATATTTTTCCATGAGAAAATCTGATGGAGATTCTGGTTCTTGAAGAAAGTTGTGAATTGTCTAAGACAACTCTCATAGTCTCAAGAACGCAAATCTACAACGCATATCACTTACATCATCTAAGATGACCGCAGGAAAAAAGTTCTTAACGAACACTATAAAAGAATGAGTCCGCAGTTTCGCTCTGTTCGATCATTAATGGAACTTGAGTCAAAACTAATTCCCGTGCGATTTAATTGGAAGATATTAAAAGGTAAATGAAAAATATAATTTTTATATAACGCAAATATCTACGCACGTAAACTCGTAATCGCTTAATATAAATGATAAAAAAACAATATAAATTTGTTAATTGTAGCCTTTTATATGTCAATTATTAATATCAACATAATATTATTGATGAATAATCGTGTTCATTGTATAGAATTATTGTTTGAATTAGTTTTCTGACATTATTTAATAAGCTATATTTCTCTCGTTTTCTTTCTCTTTTTTTTCTGTTCAATCGTATCTCTTCACATTATCTTTTCTTCGTACATCTCTCCTTCTAATTATAATAAAACACTAAGCAATAAATAAAGTTTAGCTACTTACATATGTATGAGAGTTTCGCCAATTCTTTGGGGCGTATTTGCTCAGCTTATTTTCAGGATCCACAAATAGGTACTCGCCGTCTGGAATAGTAAAAATAATTCGTTTCAGCGAAAGTCTTTTACTGCACAAACATGGAATACCGTTTCAAAAATTATTATATTCTATAATACAATTTTTCTAAATCTGCAGGCATTGAATTTAAATAATAATTATGAATATACAATTTTATGTATAATTAATGTATTGAATTTCGCAGTACAGTTGAACGTTATGTGCAAGACATAAGGTAATTCCGGTATATACGCCGCACCTATTAACCCTAGGTATACACACTGTTTTTTTTTATGACGTCGTACACACATTGGGGTCCCGAGGACCCCATCCATTATTGTAACCATCATATTACTGTAACTTAGTATTACTGTAACTCTAGTAAAAATAGACATATTTCAATTAATTTTTTTTTCAGTTAATAGAGAATCGACCAAGGAATAAGCCCATAATGTTTAAAAGTCGATAGAATTAAGTAGTTCTAAGATATACAGGTTCAAAGAAAAAGGAAAGTTCAAAAATGCAAAAAAAATCTCGATTTAGCACCTTTTTTCAAAAAATCATATCTTTTTTGTTTATAGACCGATTTGAAAAATCCTTAAAAATTCTGAAAGGGCATACTTGAAACAAAAAAATTTGGCGATTCGATATTTCAATTTTTTCAACAAAACTGCAAGCAGCGAAAATGGTGAATTTTCAATTTTTTATTTCTCGGCGTTTCGCGAGATAGTATGAAATATTTCATTTTTATACTTGAAACTTTCGCTTTAATTAATGTTAATTGTTTGACTTTTAACGTATATTATTAATTCGCTGACATATCCAATAACAGATGCATGCCTCTTCATGTTTCAACCGAAAAATACGTTATTAATTTACTCGCGTGCACTCTTATTTGATCGATCTATCGGTCGATCACCAGCACGAAAGCAAAAATTACAATTATTTAGACAAAAAAACCATTAAAATATTAAACAAATATTATTTTTAATGAATATGCAACATTATGAACATAAACCTAAGCAGATTAGAAACATACCCACGCTTCGAAAAAGTTATGTCGTATACACACTGGGGTCCCGGGGATCCCACGCTCACTTCAACTGTTCAGTTTAGTTGAGCGACAATTGTCACGCGTCAACACGTCTTCCTATTGAGGAGATCTCAAACTTTTTTATCCCAAACCCCTCCCCTTCCAATTTCAGAAATGCCAAACTGAGAAAGTTTTGCTGTAAGTTGTGTGTGTTTTGTTAGAGTCCCGGAGGCCCTAGTGGGTATATCTAGGGTTAAAAACTTAATTTATCAGATATTATTAATTATGGTTAAGGTAAATAAACTATACCAGTAAAAACTTTAGACTGTCTGCTACTATGAAAGAAATATTAGGAATCCAAAATATTTATTTTTTATATTTAAAAAAAAATTCTTTAAACCCTTGCATTTTTGTCGTATAAAAATATGGGTGGATTATACGGCTACTCACGGGTGGAATGAATGACTCAAAAAATATACAAATCTAAAAAGCTGAGCACTTGTATTTTGCTATACTCTGTCCTTTACAATTCCTTGACACTTATGTACCACAAAATAACCACAAAGCCTTTTACATTTCCTACAATAATCATTTTATGTAGATTATAATTTATGGTTGCGCTACTTATTACAGTGATAAGTCGATTTAACTTACAATAATTTTATAAATATTAACAGTAAAAAAATTAAAATCACAATACAATACTAATATAACATAAAGGCATGTAACAGAGTGATTACGAGAAAATTACTTTTACTTCTATTTTTTTTTTACTTCTGCGGCGTAAATTCTCGCGCTTCGTTTAATACCGGAGTTTATACCCTACGTATTTGTACGATGAGATAATTGGCATTTGCTCTCAATTAGTAGATAACGTTTAGGTGTTTATTCGTACATCAACGTTGCGTTAATAATTATTGATGAAGGTATAAAAGGGATAACTGTAAAGTAAAAGAAATGTCTGAATCATTCTGGAGCGCGTACATTTTTGCGAAAAATTCTCGTTGCTCCGGCTGTCGTTTAAAAAAAATTCGTACATGAAAGGATAATATGGTGAATTCGAAACACCCTAATGCAGATTACATGGATATTTATTGCGGCGGAACTCCCTAAGCGCACTGAGAGTACTTCAGAAAGTTTTATCTTCAGAAACTCTGTAAGGGGATTATAAGTATGCGCGCCCTCGGCTAAGGCAGATTTTTGTCCAATAAGGATGCAGATATATTGGGAATTTAATCCATACTTTTTAGAACTACGATTGCGTTCGCGTCGTCATATGCACGAGTATATATATATATAACATCTGTTCTTTTCGAATGTAATTTCTGTGTTTCTTTCCTGTTTGTTTCAACATGCAAGAAAACCAGGATACTGGAAAAAATAACATGTTACCGTTACTGTTACTTTTTGTAAAAATTGACTTATTACCGTTACTCGTAATTAATTTTAAAAATTAACGATTTATTAATTTCTTCGTTATTTTTTTGTAATACTAAAGTAAAATATTACATTTTAAAATTACATTATTTAATAATAAATATTAAAATTTAGTACAATATAATAATTAATATAAAAATTATAAATTAGTATCTATAAGGCAAGCTTTTTTTATATTAAATTATATTAAAATTATTTAATAAATCTTTTTCTTTATATTAATATTTTAACTTTTTAATACATTTATCTTTAGGAATTTAGATTGTAATTCACAAATGCAAATTTTATAAAAAATTTTTATTGAATATGGTTTTTAAATATTAATGTCGTTATTAAGAGTACATTCCAATATTCACTGCCAATACTGGAAATCTATAATTTACATTACATAATATATTATACATATACACTTTTAGTACAAGCAGTGACTTTTCGGAATTTTCATGTAGCTTAAAATATAAAATAAAATACAAAATATTTTTCAATATTTAAATTTTTACATAATAATACATAAAAATATTATTAGATACACAAAGTCGACCGTTGTTGACATTTCTCTATTTAATTGTGTTATTCAACATAGTGATCTAATGTATCTAACTTGTAATTCTATTTATAGAATTTCTAATAAAAACTAATGCGATCTGTTAAATGGGAGTAAAGATAATACATAGGAAACTAAAGAGTAAACCGATAAAAGTAATGGATGAATACGTTACTGTCACTGTATAAAAAATGTAACGTCGTTACCGTTATCGCGACAGACAGAAAAAAAGTAATAAAAAGTTATAAAAAATGTAATAATAACGGTAACGGTATTACAAGTAACGTGTCATTTTCCAACTGAAGAAAACGTATATTTGATTTATTTCGCTTCGATTTATATCTGTTAGATTGGATAATTTCAATTTAAATAAAAAGTTTTACCTTCTACATATTATACATATGGGAAGAGTTGCCAAATGCGTACCGATTTCATAAAACGTACCTCTTCAATATTTTATAGTTCCAGTTAATAGAAGCTACATTTAGTAACAAAAATATGAAGTAAATAAGAAATGTGTAAGATAGACAAAAAATGAATAGGTTACATCTTGTTGTGTGCATGCTATCAACATTTAAAAAAATCAGATACAATTGATGTAAATTTTTGATCAATTTATATAGCTGATACTAATGTAATAATGCAATTTTTAATTGAATCGTTATATTTTTTCCTAAAAGAAAGTTTATGATAGCATATTTTACATTCATTGTATATACATATTTACAGTTATTATAAAAATTATATCAATATTTTTATCACCTTTGTCAAGTTTCCTAAATCGTACTTGACCTATAACTAGCGTTCTTATATCGTATCGGTACAATTTAGGAACACTAATGTATCTTTATCTTTAGATCACATGACATAATCAACATTAGGTATTTATTTTAACACGATCGAAGTTGTTCTGTAGCAAGTCTGTAGAGGAAAAAACCGTCATCGAGTTGCGTAAGCAAAACAGCTATTGTTTGATAAATTACAATTAAAGTAGATTTAAGATATTAATTTATGATTCTTTTATCAATCTGGTATTTTTAATTATTTTCATTTATCAATTCAATAGTTTAGAAGGAGGTATCATTAATAAAATTTACAGGTACGATTTAGGCGACCGATTTGCTGAATCGTGCTTTTGACAGCATGTTACAAAAAAGCTTAGAACAAATTAATTTGCTATTAGTGAAAGATTTAACATGTAATATTAAACTACAATTTTCAACGTTCGTTTGCATTCTAAATAACACCAAATGTAAAATATAACCAAAAATATCTTAAGTGCTACGTAACGTTTCGGCAACTCTCCCCTAAAGCGCTAACATGTGCGAGTTCGTTATATATAATTTAATGACTATATAAGCATAATTGAACTGATTTGCTCACTTGTGCGCAAGCCGTCTCACCGAGAATATTTAGAGTTGATGTCCATTATAAACTATAATAAAATTTCAATTCTTCTTTCAAGTGCCACGAATTTCTTATGAACATTTATCTATATGTTACTCTGTCTGTTATAATAATTAAGCTTTTCATTGCGAGATACTAAATTGTGTGTTCTTCACTACCAGCAATAGAATCAGCAATATCTCGTTCATATATACAAATCGATCGGTTTCACTGTTTTCCGAATCAAATCCCTGCTTTTCCGTATTACTCCCTACCAGTGCGAGATATTCCCTTTTGCAACCGCATCACTATTCATCAGCAAAACACCTCGAAGTTTCTGCAAAACTGGGTCGCTGATTAAGCGTTATCGCTATGAACCACGCGCAAGTTCATCATAATATACGTGTAAGCTTTATTCACACACGTACACACACGGAGAGTCCCTATTTGGGATATTCTGTTTTGTATTGCAGCGCACAGGTCAAACACATAAATGCTCGATCGCATGCATTCGGGGAGCTGCAAATCTGCTTATCAAACAGTCGCACCGAGAATTTCCCATCGTGATGCACCGCACTTGCGCTGCATCGTATAAATAATACAATTGGAAGAACGAAAAAAGAAATGCACGCGATTACGAGATATGTCATGCTTAATGTGTAAACGGATTGTTTTACGTGTTGATTTTATGAGAACAGTTCATGCCGTTAATTCTGAAAAAGGAGAACTTTTTTAACTGCAACATTTTGGAAAGACTGATTATTCGGACAATAATTTAATCTTGATATTTTGAAACATAAGTCATTTTTGTTCTCTGAAAAATTATATATTCAGCCTCGAAAGCTTCACCTTTTTTTATTTTATTTTGACGAGAATTGAGAATTAATCTAAAAGCAACCGCCTATAAACGGGATAAAAATCGACATGCCGAACGTTTGCTTCTCGTTCACGATAACCGAAAACGCGCGCGAGCCCTTTGCAGTCGTGAAAAATGCAACCGTGTCGTCCTGCCGCTCGAAAAATCGAATGTTCCCCCGTAGGGCACGCCGCGCGCAATTCGAGCGATGTAGCCTCGTGCGAGAGCTAGATGCACTCGCCGCTAAACGTTAGCCGTCAGCCGTTTCGCAAGCGCGATAAATCCCGCCGTGCCGCCCCGTGTAACGCTATTCTCTCCCGGCGGGTTTCTCGACGACGACGGCGGCGGCGGCAGCGGCGTGGGCGTCGGTATCGGAGCGTCGCTGCTCCGGAATAAAGTATCCAATAGAATCGCTAATCCGCCAGCAAACACGCCCGATATTGGGCCACCTGTTTGCTCCGACCGCAATGTTTGCACTGGGCGCCGGGACCCGATCGGGTGAACCGATATTTTTCCGCCGTGCGCCTCTGTAATATACACCGAATCCGTAAGCCGGAGAAATATGAGCGGAACAGGGCCCTCCATACGAAATTTGCGTCGGCGAAGATCAAGCCGCTGAATCGAAATTTAAGTGTAGCAATAAAAGTTATTGATATAGATTAAGAATAACAATAAAGTCATAATTACAATTTGTAAGTTTTGCAATAAATGAAAAATGTATATAAAAGTAAAAATACGTTTAAAGTACAAAACGTATGATATATAATACATCAAGAAAAATAATAGTATAATATTTTATATATACTATATACAGAGTAATCTTGAATGTTTTGGCCAGACTTTGAGATTTCATAGGAAATTTAATTCTGAACAAAAAGTTTCCTATAAACATAAGTCGAAAAATGCTTACTTAAAGAGTTATCGTCTAAAAATTTCACGGTTATTTTATACATTTTCACAAATATCATGAAAAGTATGCGTTTTTTTACAAAAAATCTTAAAACAAAAGTTGTAAAAAATTATCTTTTAAATGGAACAAAAATAAATGTGATATGTTTCACAGGTTTTGAAATAAAAATTTCAAATGTGTGTTTTATTTTAAGAAAGCATTTTTCGATCCATGTTTATAGGAAACTTTTTGTTCAGAATTAAATTTCCTACAAAATCTCAAAGTTTGGTCAAAATATTCGGGGCCACCCTGTATATATTTCTTTAATAAATTTTTATAATAAACAGATTTCAACTTACTCTGAACTTTGTATTTATATAATCTAAAAATTAAAATTATTGAAGATGTACAGCAGCTTGAACTATATAAAGAATAAAATTTTATTGTTTATTTGCATCTCTCTTGTAAAGTTCGATCATTTCTATAGACTTAAACAATTTATCAATTAAAAATTTTTACTTTAAATCGATCTTTGTAAAATCAATAGATAAAATGCAAGAAGTCTAGAATTTTTTATGTACAAACCACTTATTTCTTTTTTTTTTCGTTAACAGCATTTTTCTTTATTTTTTGATGCCATGATTCTCAAGAATACATTCTTTAAAAAAAATTCGCGCGCACTCTTGTCATTCGCATGATTGCACGGAATATATTTTCCTTCAATTGCGTCCGCGATTGCTATCGAAGTGACTGGAAGTACTTCATGAGACGATCCGGATTTAGTCATAACGAGCGACAGTACTTGACATTGGTTCGATCGATTCCTCGTACACTAGCGGCCGAGGAAATGGAACGACGAGATTTATCGTCCCGTCCCACCCTCTCTACCCCTCCCCCACCGATCCGTACGCCGCGTTCTCCAAGTAGGTGGGCTTATACGGTGATGTATACTGTTATCCAACTGCACCGGGCAGTGATAATCCATCCGGGTGTCTCGCGCAGCCCCTTCTATTGTTCCGAGTTAATTAAATTACGGATTACCACGGAGACGGAATTATTTTCCCTCTATCCCGTTCGCAGATTTTCGCCCCTTCGCGCCTTCCTCGGTCGTGGGAGGTGCGGCGGATTTTCGTAATTTTTAATTTATCTCAGTATCTCGTCGCCGGGGACGTAGCGACGACGATTCCGCGACGATAAGATCCCGTTAATCGCGTTCGCGTGAGAACTTATCTGGTCGATTATATCTCGCGGCCGCGCATTCGGCAAAATAAAGTTTCCGAAGAAAATCCGCGAGAGAAACGGGATCGTGCTTCTTTATTTTTCTGTCGCTTGGAATTTTTCGCGATTCAAAAGGCTCAAATTAAGAACGACAGTATATATGTATATCGTTAAAGGAAAACGCGATTCCATTTCGCGTTTTAATTCCACGCAATATTCCGCTTACGAGCGGGAAGGGGGGAGGGGAGGGGGGATTACGGCACGGAGGCGAGAACTTAACAATGCGTCAGGGGAGCTCGCAATATCGTAATGTACGAATCGCGTAGTGCTCGTGGACGCTACATGGAAAGGATCTCAAACGCGCGGCGCGGGGGCGCGGGAGGATATACGCGCAGGACGCAACGCGGCGCAGATAAAGTGTGGCAGTGATGAGGGACGCGCAGGGGATTGAGCTGACATTACGTTCGGCCCCATCGGATCCGGACAACGGCGGTGCGTTCGACAGTCGATCTTTTGATCGATCGCCCGTGGAAACGCGAACGTTTAATCCGGCAGCAAGCAATTCCCGCTGACAACATTCGTGTCGTCTCTCTTGGTTGAGAGAAACAAATATCTCCGCCAGCTTTTGTGCGCGCCGTCGAAACGCGCGCGCGCGCGCACGTCCGCGCAAAATGTTACCGCGTTTTCCACCTGTAGATGAAAATAGTGACGACAAAATAGCTGTTGGCAGAAAGAACCGTTAAGGGAGTTCTGTGTTGTAAAGTGCTGATCTCACCGCGAAAGTATTACGCATTGTTAAGTAAATCTCGTCTGCCGTGGCTGGAAAGGGAAAGAAGAATGGACGGACAAACCATCGTAAATTTTCAACTGGTGTTTTAATCGTTTAACACTTTTTACAACAACTCTTTTCGGCTCGGTAATCATAAGCATCGCACAGTTAACGGGGCCGAATATTTTCAATAAAGTTCGCGCGGCAAACTGTAATTGCTCGGATTGATCAAGCTGATTAACGCCAGCTTCCTCGCTTTTAATTGCTACCGCGGCGCGCAAAATGCTACGGGGTGATAATTAAAATGCAACGATTAAGAGGTGGGAATGCGCCATTACTGGGAAAACTGCGTGAACCACTTCCGGTCGCTTCGAGAATGCAACCCGCTTTCATCGGGCGAAGAGTGCTCGTGCATTGTTGTCGAGCGTATCCGCGATGCAAATCACCCGTCGTTATTTTCTCGCCGAGAACTGTCGCGCCGAAAAAAATAATAAAACAAAAAACAAAAATAACGATCGTCAAAAGGGAAAAGAAATTACGGGGATAAAATTTTAACGGTACCGTGCTAGTACAGCGATAACTGACAATTTTTACACGAATTACTTAACAGTTTTGTGAATAAAACTATGTTTTAATAACCTCTCTATTTACAGGTAGAAAACGATTACTGTTACAGGTAGACAACAAATATTATGAAAATTTACAAAATTTACGCATTTAGGGGAGAGTTGCCGAATACGTACCACTTAAGATATTTTTGATTATATTTCACATTTGGTACTATTTAGAATGCAAACAAACGTTGGAAATTGTAGCTTGATGTTCAAGGCATCAAATATTACATGTTAAATCTTTCACTAATAGCAAATTAATTTGTTCTACGCTTTTTTGTAACATGCTGTCAAAAGCACGATTCAGCAAACCGGTCGCCTAAATCGTACCTGTGAGTTTTATTAACAGTACCTCCTTCTAAACTATTGAATTTATGAATAAAAATAATTAAAAACACAAGATTGATAAAAGAATCTTGAATTAATATCTACTTTAATTATAATTTATCAAAGAATATAGCTGTTTTGCTTATACACAACTCGATAACGGTTTTTTCCTCTACAGACTTGCTACAAAACAACTTCGATCGTGTTAAAATAAATATAATGTTAACTATGTCATGTGATCTAAAGATAAAGATACATTAGTGTTCCTAAATTGTACTGATACGATATAAGAACTCTTATGCTGGTTAGGTTAGGTACGATTTAGAAAACTTGACAGAGATGATAAAAATTAATATTGATATTATTTTTATAATTGTAAATATGTATATACAATGAATGTAAAATATGCTATCATAAACTTTCTTTTAAGAAAAAATAATGATTCAATTAAAAATTGCATGGTTACATTAGTATCAGCTATATAAATTGATCAAAAATTTACATCAATTGTATCTAATTTTTTAAAATGTTGATAGCATGCACAAAACAAGATGTAACCTGTTCATTTTTTGTCTATCTTACACATTTCTTATTTACTTCATATTTTTGTAACTATATGTTGCTTCTATTAAGTGGAACTATAAAATATTGAAGAGGTACGCTTTATGAGACCGGTACGCATTCGGCCACTTTCCCCTATATGCAATTTTAAATTTACGCGCGCGCAGCGTGTGTGTGTGTAAAAATTACAGTATTGTACCATAAATGTTATTTTATCAAATTTTTACATGTATAAAAAATTGATCGTTAATTAAAAGAATCGGCGAGCTGGTCGAACATGATTGGCCTCGTAACCGATGTTGTATATACTGTATAGCGATACCTGTATTGTTTGCCGAACATTGGGATGTTCCGTGGCTCGCATGTGAGATTGTATGAGCAGGCAATGGCAGCAATAAGCAATATGTCCATCACTGAGCCTAGTCCTGATTAGTCCTTTGTCACTTGAGACCAATATTGACAAGGTGCAGTCTCCCTCTCGCATCAGTAATACACCTCGAGTACCCACATAACGATACCGCATCGACATTGATGCAATGAAATGGAGAATTCGATAGTTTCGCATTAATTCTAAGGTTCCCATGATGGATGATCGTTTTGACTCGGAAACGAAGAAAAGAAAGAAATAAGTTTGTGTGTACGTAATGTTCTATTATAACAATTTCTAAAAACCAAAAATATAATATTACAAGACAAAGAAATAATCAATATATATAATTATATTGATCATTATTTGTATAATTATAAGACAAAATATTAAATGATTTAAACGAAACAAAATTCTGACAATTAATAAAGAAAAAGTATATTAATTATAAATATTCAAATGTAATATATAAGTTATGTAAATAATGATATACGATTATAAAATAAATATATAAAGTAACATTCTTTCTGATATCCTTTTTACAAATGATTGGCTAATATTGCTGTTAACAAAATCCATATTTTTAAGTTTTTTGATAAACTCATAAAATTTTGAACAATTTATATAATGAATGTGAATTGTAATATACATATATTGTAATTTGGAACCCCAATTTTATCTTGCTTATAATCAATTTCTTTTTCTAATGCCATTCACTTTCAGGGAATTGTCCAAATTTATTTTTATTTTGTTAAAAATTACATAAAATGTTTTACATTTTTATTCGAAAGAAATAATGCCCAAATCTGGAATCTGGACATAAGCCTTCAAAAATCTAAAATTTCGAGTTAAATCTAAAGAGATGACAATCCTAATTAATCTTCTTTTTACGACTGTCTCACACAGAATAAGTAATTAAAAATAGATTAATTAGAACATATTATAAATAAAATCAATTTTTTTTGTTTCTAATACATATATTATCAAAAACAACAAGAAGTGTGTAACGATGTTTTATATACATATACATTATAAAGGTCTTTTTGAACATATTTTATACAGAATTTAGATATTTCTAAAATATTTTAAATAAAGATAAGTCTTTAATTAAAGCATTTTTCTCGAAAGTAGTAGAAAAAAAATGAAAAAGAAAGTTCCATATTTGTTAAAAATTTCATATTGGCAAAATTATCATGTATATCGTGAACTTATAACCTTTTTTAATTTTCCTTTTATTTCGAATTAGCTGATTTAAAATAATTTAAGTCGAAAAATTAAATTGTTCTTTAACAAAGATTAAATTATTTTTTAACAATAATTCTTTTATTTTTGAAATACTTGACTGAAGTTGTCAGAGTTTGGATCTAGTGATTATATCATGAGACACGGTCGTGTCTTGGAGCTAAAGATTATCTTACTTACGAGAAAATTAGCCATTTATAGTAATATAGATAGAACTAAATAAGCTATAAGAATTTTACCACTAGGTGACCGGTTACGGAAATACTTTCTCGTATTTAAATTCTGATTTGTGTCTTTATATATGCAGTAGTGAATTAATAGGATATTAAAAGACTTTTAAGCCCAGTCTACAATTGCATAAGCAAAATTGCAAGTAGGTGCAGTTGTTAGAATGTATCAATCACAATCGAATATAAGAAGAATATATTCGACTGTAATTGGTCGGTTCTTACAACTACAATTACTTACAATTACGCTTACGTAATTGTAGACCAGGCTTTATATAAACATAACATATATGTCGAAGAGAAAGAAATATTTTTCTCTAGCATATACGTCATGTTCATATAAAATTCTTGTTATATGTTAATATTAATATTAAAAAATAAACGAGCAATTTATGGGTATTCTAATAAATATACTTCATGTAAATATTTAGATGTACGGATATATGATATATATCATTCGATTTTGTTCATGACTATTTTATCTTTTTCTTATCGATTGATTGGTTGACATTATTTAGAATATTTAGATCATTACTCGCATTTTATATATGTACATATTACTTCGCGTTTTTTATGTAGTTATGTATTAATTATTTAACGTTGGCGGCTG